AACATTTGGTCAGCCCAGATGTTTACTCTTGATAACAACATTCAGATGAAACATGGCCACTTGAGCCTGTATTGAGAAGAGTTGACAGCACTTAGGGAATACATCTGACCACAACCTTACACAGCCTCCTTTTCATTAGAATGGTATGTTGTGCTGTACAGTTGCCTCTATAGGTCTGCCATTCCCCCAGGCTGAGAGAGACAACTTTGTCTCTGAATAAGTACAGACTTTTTCTTCTCTGTCGTTGTTCCCTAGACAATACAACAACTATTTATATAGCACTTACATTGTATTATGTGTGATTCACAATCTAGAGATGATTTAAGAACATGGGAGGATCGTGTTAGGTTATATGCAAATATTACTCCATTTTCCATAAGGGACTGGAGCATCCACAGCTTTTCTTACACAGGGGTTGGAATGTGAGGAGGGAGGTCTTAGATCCAATCTCTAGGGATATTAAGAAGTGACTATATACATGCTTTTTTAAAAATATATGCTGTGCTATTTGCGTTTAAATATAGCTTCACTCTATGTGTACTTTAAGATTCTTGCAAGTCTGATCCACATCTTCACATTACTTCTGACACAATGCCATTTTGTAAATTTCATATGTATATATGCACAAGATTCCATTTCTAAATAATTATAATCGTGAATGGAAAAAAACAAAGACATAAAGAACAGAATGAAGAGATCATTCATGTAGCTCTTAGGATTTTGGAAAGTTTGGTATGATTATGTTTGGGACAGTGCAGGGCCCAGGCTCTCAAGGGTTAACTCCACAGCTTAGCTTGTTTTTCAAGGCATAACAGGATGCGCAAATTTGGCCTTATACATTTAGCTCCTGGCTTGACCACAAGTTCCCGCTTCCCTGCTTCCCCTTTATCAAGATGCCCCCAGGGGTCTTATGAGCTGCTTGTGCATTGGAAAAATACTGGGAGGAACTAGGCAGACTATAAAAAGGCAGGTGGAAGTTCAAATACAGCAGCATTCTCTTTACAAAAATGACCCACTGAGTGTTGTCTTTTTTGTAACCATAGTTCCTCCATTGGGCTTAGCTTGGGGTACAGGGTGACACAGGCGTTGCCCACAGAACAGGCTATAACACTTGTGATTTTCATTTATCTAATTCATAGTCCCTAAACTGAATGCGAATTAAACCTCAGGTTCAATTAAGCATGTCACTTAATCACATTACTGAATATGCAAATCATGACATTTTTATCACATTTATAAACACCTGTGGGTATGTGGCAGCATGTGCATTCATACTCGTGAAGGGAGCTGCGCATGCTACGTACATGATAGATTACATGAATGATCTAACATAACCAGTCATCTTAGAGGTGATGCAAAGGCTAAAAATAAAGAGTCCTACCTCTATAAGTAGGCTGGTACTTGACCTAGACTTCAAAGAACCACAGGGGAAGAAAAGTATAGAAAATAAAATCCCAGGCAGAGGGAGATGAGAAAGTCTAGCCTGGAAGCAATTACTGCCTGCATGCTTTGTGGTGTTTATTGCCTTCTGCTATATTTTTCTCAATATGCATACCAATTTGAAACAATCAGTGAGAGGCACTTAGATAGCAATGGAATTAAACTAGAAGCTGACATTTCAAAATAAAAGCTTTAGAAGCCACTCCATTAAAAATGCAAAAGAAATTTTATGTGTTAGGTGAATGATCATCATGACCATTATCATAATTAACATTTATTGAGCACTACTCTGGGGTAGGTACTATTCTCAGGCATTTATGGACGATAGCTCTTCAATTTTCATAATCTCCATCAGAAAAAGAGAAAAGAATAAAAAAATGAATGACAAAATGAAAGGAGAGGGACAGAAAGGAATTAGGCACTTCTGTATTTACTAGCCAATACTTTATTCTTGCCCATCTGAATGGAATATAATGAAAATGGAACAAAACAACTTGCCTGTCCACACACAGACAGGCACATGCTCAGGGCTACAGGTGCAAACCTACACACACAAGTAAACATTCCATGGTCAAGTCTGTGTTACACTGCTATTCCACTACTTTCAACATTTCTGTGAAAACTAATGGCACAGGGACTCAATCTACCCCACACTGTGTAATCCTAGTTTCCTCCTGACTACCTGGTCTAAGGAGCTGTGATTCAAACAGTGAGTAATTCTGCACAACTTTATCACTATAGTGATCTGACTTCAATTTAATGAATGACTGAGTTTTGTGCCCAGCATCAGTAAGCCCTCTTTTTTGGTAAGAATACTCTTTGTTTAAAGAGCTACCCCCTTGCAAATCTCTAAAGACAGCAAGGGGTCTAGGTTTGACCAAACAGATCAGCCCATTTCCTTAGTTGTAGTGACTAATTTAAGGGTAAGCACACACTCACAGCCAGGGTTATGAAGGCTAAGTTCAAGATTTTCTTCTTTAATAGGCACACAGACATTTTCCTTCCTGCTAGAATAACTATGAATGAAATGAACAAAACGCTGTCAACAGCCACTGTGCACAGAATGCCCACTAACAGACCTTAAAAAAAAAAGATCAAAAAAAAAAGAGAGGTGTGAGTGAGTCACTGTAATCAAATCAAGATCCAAAATTACTATTGAACTTTTCACTGGTGAGTCAAAAGACACTTCTTTATTTAAACTACCTAATTTCTTTCCCCTGGTCACCAAAATACAGAACATTTGCATATGATACTTCCTGTTTGGAGATTTACAATGTTTATTCATGGTTCTGAGAAGCTTTCAGTGAAGAAACTAATTTATTCTTCTCTTATTCTTTCACAAGTCTTGACCAAAATAGTGCTAGCTACTAAATAAGATCTCAAGTTTTGAAGAGTTATGTGACACACAAAGGCCATCATCTTTAACCTCTGTAACAAATTGTTTTATGGAAAAACCAAAGAATCTCATTGCATTACGTTTCATACCACATGTTTTAAGTTTTCTCATTATGAAAATACTTCACTAGTTTTTTGTTATAAAGTAATATGTTTGACTTTTTCAAGCTTGGCATCCCTGCAACTTGCAGAAAATTTTACAGTAACTTTAATATGTAATATTCCCTAATCATCTAGCTTACTTAGGACAATTTCTTGAGGATAATTTATGTGCCTTCAATTTCTTTTTGTCAAGGCAGATTTTCAGAGTAAATGAGAGGAGAGAGAGAGGATCTTCCACCTTCTGGTTTACTCCCCAAATGGCCACAACAGCTGGGGCTGGGCCAGCACAAAGCCAGGATCCTGAAACAACCCAGGTATTTCACAAGGACATAGGGCTCATTTAATTGTGCCATTTTTCCTTGCTTTCCCGTACACACTCTCAGACAGGTGGATTAGAGTGGAACAGCTAGGACACAAGCTGTTACTCATATGGGATGCCAGTATTGCAAGGATTGGCTTAACCTACTACACTACAACACTGGCCCCCTGCACCTTATACTTTGAAAATCCATTTTTCTCACAGCTAGAAATTCTAGATATGGTCTTACTAAATCCAAAATGGTTTTCACCATGTTGACAGATACAATTAGAGTTTGAAGCCCAGAAGGCAAAGTCAGCAAATAATGAATTCATGGCGAAACTAATCAAATACTACTCCCATTCTCTTTTTTTCTTCTTCATCATCAAGTCTATGAACAGGGAAATAAAAACATGAGTAACAAATGACCTTTCCAGAGTCCAAAATGAAAATGGCCTTTTGACTTCCACAGTAATGAAATCTAAATGCAATGTGAAAAGAATAAATGGATCACTCAGCACATTGGTTTAATCCATTTTAGAAATGAAGGTCTTGCTCTCACACAAGGTAAAGAGCCGGTCCCCAACCATTTCAATCACAACTCTTGGTAAAAACCAATCAACCACACACAAAATAATGAACATGTCAGATACTTCCCTGCTCAACTTATCATACCTTATATAAATGAAATGCAGCCAATAACCATAGCCAAGATTGTACATTCTGGTGCTGTTACACAGTGACTAAGTTTCATACTAAAATACTTCCCTACTCCCAAATTCCCTTTTATCTCACCATCACTTAATGACTAAATTATACACTGAAACTTTGTTATTTTAACTCTGAAGCATTCTCTAGATATTAGCAAAGCTTCTGATTCAGAATTATAGACCATTGATTCTGGAATAGTTGTTTGGGGATGTGCTGTCCAACGATTTGATGTTGCAATCCACCATGAGCTGGCTTCTGGAGTCCCATGCTCTTGATTAAATGAAACCATTTTATTTCATGTGCTTTACAAGAACATATTATAGGTGAAGAATTGAGTCCCTTGAGTTTTCAGTCACTAGATTTGCCCAAAGGCACAGAGCTGCTTAGTAGTAAGTTAGTAAGTCTCTGTTAGATTCTAACTGTGTGAGAAGAATCAGATTAAATTAAAATGAAATTTTGTTGGCATAAAAAAAGGAAAATTTAAGTGCAATTTCAAATAAATCTTCACCTAGATGTTCAAAAACCAAGGCAGTTATCTTTCCTCTCTCACACGTTACTCTCCATGTTGGCCTCATTCACAGGCAGACTCTGTATATAACATTGTCTTGATGTAGCAACTCCAAATCCAAACCCTTCCAAGAACCTCAAATGTAGGAGACAGGGAGATTCTGCAATATGATAGTTTTATAACATCTGATCCACAGTTGAACTCCAATGTTTTACTCACATTGTGAACAAGCACTGTATCCAGGGATACAAACTATGCCATCAGGACACCCCTTGAGCAGAGAGCAATCCCACGTAAACCACATGGACGGACTATGAACAAAGGGTATTACTCCTAACAAAAAGTGACGCTTTATTTCTAGAAGTGGCAATGCTTACTGGAAAAACCACAACATCAAATATACACTGCCTTTGATCATCTGACTCCCTGTATAAAGGTCCTCTGCCAAGCCATTCATCATCCTCAAATGAAAGTCATGATGGCATGTTGTAGTGACAGACAAACATAGCAACAGGCAAACACAAGAAGTAATCAACATCTCACCACTTACTGTTCTGAAGAAAACTTGTCTTCCACTCAGGTATCCTCGGGATGCCAGGTACAATCTATTATAAGAAGGATATTAATAAATAAATAGTTTTCCCATTTACAATGAACTCTTAACTTTCTGTAGTCAGCTACTTTCTGCATATTTGTTCCCTGGGCACTCAGTTCACACCTATATTAAATTACTTGCAATCTGACTCCATGATTTGCCTGTTCTATGTACATCTGTGCTCCTCAAGGGCAGACACTCCTTTTTTCTCTCTCCATAGCTTTAGCAGCTATGGAGTTACCACGGTGCTTGACACACCACAAATGCTGAATAAATGTGAATTATTGTCACAGTAATGATCTAAGACAGCTTTCTCAAAGTGAGTTCCCAGAACACTGTCAAACCTTTCATCCAGGAACTTTTCATTATTAGGTAAGTTTTGAAAATATATACTATAGGCCCTCTTACACATTATTAAGGTTGCATCAGGCATATCAGATGATCTGATATATGTTTGAAAAAAGCCATTCAGCTTTGCTTAAACTTCTTTTTGGTATTCACAACTTATTTTAACGTAAATGCTAATATGTAATTAGTTCAATATTCCATGAGAGAAATCTGAGGAAATGCCATAATATCTAAAAGATATTATTTAACAAAAGAGAATTTTCCTTTTAACCATTCTTTCAAGCCTGTACTTGTTGGGTGCCCACACAACACCAGGCAAAGCTTATACTTTCCAGTTAGAGCCCACAATCTATTAAATGGAAAAATAAAAATACATTTTAGAAGTACTCTTTATCAAAAGTGAGTCCAGTGTAAATGAAGTTCTAACTAGAACATAATATAAATAACACTAAATCATTTGTTATTAGAAGTTGAGATATTTCTTGGCCAAAATAAACTAGGACCACATTTGGCTATCTGAACTGTATGATTGAAGATTCAGGGATGTTGATGGGAGCTTGTTAATGTGCACTGAGAAAGAGTAAGAAAAAAAAAGAGTGATAAAAGAAGGAAGAGAGGGAGAAACAAAGAAAGAAATAAGAAGGAAGGGAAAGAAAGACATAAAACAAAGACCTAAAAAAAACAAAGAATACGTAGATTTTATTCCCCATATGTACAATTAACATGGTGTGCACTTGTCTTGTGTTTGTGCATGCACAAGTATGCAGATAGTAACAGCCCTACAGCGTATAACCTGGTGATTCTTAAGCCAAAATATTTCAAGATGATTTTCAAGTTAGTGCTTGCATTCAAAAACACTACTCTAGTGCTGACTCCAAACGACAGGCACTGTGTCAATTGCTGGAAATACAGGCAGAAGGACCCAATGTCAGTCCTAGCCCCTATCCACAACTCGCAGACAGGTCGGAAACCCACAGTCACAACCCAGCAGTGTCTAGAGGAAGTGGAAATAACCAAAAGTCTGGAATATATCAGGGAGGCCTCAAAACCTGAGGAGTAATGAGGTTCACTCTTGAAGAATAAGAAATAGCTTAAAATGATAAAATTATAGGAAGTTAATATCCAACAAAATCTATAGGAAACCTATTTATCTTTCTTCCATAATGCTACTTTAAAATGAATCTCTGCCTTATTTTGTCTACAGCATGAATCTGTTTAATTTCCTCACATTCCCACATCACCACAGGAACTGTTCTAAGTTGGCATACTGGCATGCTTATCTGTCTTGGGCATTAGTTTATTTCATTCTATTTTGACTTCACGTTTTTTGAACACCATGTGGCTCCAATAAACAAATCCAACTCCTTAAGTGTTTCTGACAGGTTTGGTGTGATTAGATCAAGTTATGGAAATGCCTTAAGACAAGTTAGAGGCTTTTCATTAACAAGAGGGGGAAAAAAACCTTATAGGCTTTTATAGGCTTCATAAGTTGAGCAAGAAAATGTTGTGACAATGAGGCCTAATATAAGAATGAGCTTGGTTTATTTCAAAGGACTATGTACATCAAGAAAATAGTTAACAATTCCTTAAGATTTGTCAAATAATTACATTAAAATTCTAATTTGTGTAAGTTAACGGGGCTTTTAACAAATCTTAGCGGTGTATATACTCTATTCTTATTGTATAATTTGTTAAAAACACAGGTAAACCAAAAGAGTGAGGAATACTTAATTACTCTAATCACTAATTTTGACATGCAATGATGATCATCAGTACATCTAGAGGATACATTTTTCTCTCTCTGGTTTTATCCATCTACTTATTTGAACATATTTGCATGCACATGTACACACACACACACACATTTCTTTGAAAGGAAAGAGGGAAAGTGAGAAAAAGAGATCTAGTGTCTGTTGGTAAACGCCAGGCTGAACCCAGGAATCTGAAACTTGACCTCGGCATCCTATAAGAGAGCAGGGACTTGACCGTTTGAGCCATCATTTACTGCCTCCTGGGTGTATATTAGCAGGAAGCTAGATTGCAAGTAGAAGCAGGACTCAAACCTGGAGGTACTAATAGTAAATATGATGATGAAAACTAGCAGCTTAATCACCACCAAAACCCCATCCCAGTATAAATATATATTTTTACAAAAATAGGTTTACTTTGTAATAATGGGTTTTGACCTAATAGTTTATCCTAATTTTTCACAACTTATGTTATCACTTTTAATCATTGTATTAGTATATCCCTCCTAATTCTTTTGGTATAAATTGCTCAAAAAGAAAATAAAAGAAATAAGATATGGGGAAAAGGGAACCCTACTCCACTGCTGGTGGAGCTGCAGGTTAGTACAACCTTTATGTAAAGCAATCTGGAGAACACTCAAACAACTCAAAATCTGCATACCATATGACCCAGCAATAGCACTCCTAGGAATATATCCAAAACACCAGTTTCACGACAAACCAACATGCACCCCTATGTTCATAGCAGCACAATCAATAATTGCAAAAACATGGAAGCAACCGAAATGCCCATCAGCAGAAGATTGGATAAGAAAGCTTTGGTTCATCTACTCCATGGAATACTACTCAGCTATTAAAAAAAAAAAATGCAATTCTTTGTGGCTAAATGGGCCCAACTGGAAACTATAATGCTAAGGGAAATGAGTGAATCCCAAAAGGTTAGGTACCACATGTTTGCCTTGATTTAACCTGTAATTTTAGTTTGTTTGTTTGATTGTTAGTTTTTGAACCTGTCATTGATACTGTCTCAACCCATGTGTTTTGAAGAATTGAACTTGCATTATTTTTAACATATTGTTTACTCAATACTATGTCAATTAATCCCATAACATTGTGTATTGTTGCTGATGTTTAGTTGGGGCTTTTAACTGACTGGAACTTTACTCTGTTAGCTCTACCTTCAGACCAGAGAAGGTCTCCCCAAGAAGCCACTGAACTTATCTGGACAATAAGATGCTGGACTTTATGCTAGGTATATGCTTGCAATGAAGGAATCTCAACTGAACTTGAACTGTGGTTATGCAGCAAGGTGGAGGAATCCACCATGTGGGGAGGGTAGTGGGAGGGGTGGAGGGAATCCCAGTGCCTATAAAACTGTATCACATAATACAATGTTAACAACAATTTAAAAAAAATAATAAAAAAATTTAAAAAAAGAAATAGAGAGCAGAGCAAATGGAGGAATAATGCTATTTTAATGAAAACAAATTTATAAAATATATATCCTGATAGTTTATCATTTTTAAATGAACCATTCCCAAAACAGTAAAAATATGTCTAATGGCATTAATCAAAAGAAATTATGGGGTTTTTATCCTTTCAAAAACCAGGTAGCTGAATATTGAAAATGATCAAACTTTATATTCACCAGACAGAAAAATAAGGGATTTGTCTTTGCTGGGCCACATCAGAAAGATATTTTGTGTTTGGAGCCAATTTTGTAAATATGTTTAATTCTAAGCGTCCACATTATGTAATTATTCATACTTCTTAGCCTTTCTTTGGGTCACTGCTCCCTTTTGAGAATTTAATGAAAGCTATATCTCTTTTCAGAAAAATGTACATTCTCATTCAAACGCACACACAATTTGCATTCAAATTCATTGCTTATGTTCATCTCTGTAGAGTATTAAACCTCCAGGTTAACGACAGAAATAAGTCTTTGAATGATTTCAGTATTTGCATACACAAACACAACAGTGTCCAGTGTTCAGGGCTTAAACACAAGCTCACATGCTTAATTTACAACTTTGTCATTAATTTTTCTGAGCTTTATTTATAAAATAGAGAAAATAACTACCTCCTGGCTACTGTAGAATTCCCATTTATGTAGAAAACGATATCACTGTTGCTTAATGTAAGTCTTACCATGTGACTACTTGGAATCATGTGAACACTTTACAGGATACTTCAGGTTATCCCTGGACGTTTGGTGCCTCCATAGGGGAGAGTTTTCAAGAATGAGATCATTCAGTATCTATCTTACAGATGCTGTTAGAAGATTTCAATAGTGACAATTCTTGAGCTGTGCAGGACCTAACACTGTTAAATCTGTGCTGATGCTTTCATTAAAGTCAGAGATTCCAAATTAAATGCCTGCAGGGTCTTCCGTATGTGAAAGCTCTTGAAAGGAAAGCAACAGAAACAATGAATAATGTAGAAATCCCCCTGGCAGTTCTTTCTCAGTTCTGAAGCACAGTTCCAGTGAAGGAATAAAGGAATCAGATTGTAGAAATCTTTCTAAGAATTCAAAACTTTGAATTTTGTAAGGAATGTTCCCATGTCAAAATATGATGTGGTCTATGAGTTGGCAACCTCTGCATAAATGGAGACAAACCCATTACCAATCTAAACTGAAATTAGCATTTAACCTACCGGTTAAGACATTTGCACACTGTATTAGAACACCCAGATTCAAGTCTTGGTTCCTGATTCCAGCATCCTGCCAATGAAGAAACAGGGAGGCAGCAGTAAGGGCTCCAATAATTGGATTTCTCCCATCCATATGGGAACCTGGATTGAAATCCATGCTCCTGGCTTTGTTACACCTGGTTTTGTTACTCTTGGCTTTATTCATCTGGAGAATGAATCAGTGAATGGATCAGTGGCCTCTCTCCTCTCTCTATAAAAAAAA